TTTCTTTTTTCGGACCCTGCTGATTTTTAATTGGTTGCCCCTGGTCTATGATAACATCTCGTTCCTTACCTGTAATCCAATTTTTCTACTTCTGTGTTCGTTTTGTTGTTACTTTGTTTTAAAGCCTTAAAACCACATGAGAATAGACTCTGTAACCTAGAACTATGGAGTATGGAGAGCCGCGCTATTCAAAATCAAATAAATCTGGAAGTAAATAAATAAATGTTGACATAAATCAAAAATAAATGCAAGATAAAAATGCTTAAAATATGTATTTAGTTTTGGGTCAATTCTTTATTTCATAGAATATGGATTAATAATTGATCCATAATAGCATTTATTGATATATTTATTTATCTAATTTTGAAATAAAAATCTCTCTATATAGGACAGGGTCCTTTTAAAATATGTAAAACAAAAAAAAGAAGAAAATAAATAAACTTTTAGAAGGCTTTTTCTAGTTTTATCACTATTCAGTTATGAACATGTTTGTTTATAGTAAGAATATTAACTTTTTTCTCCGGTTTTGACTTTTATTCATATTGAATAGCAAGTGATTTAACAAACTGTTGATAATGGGAACAGAAAACAAAAATCAAACCCCTCAGGAGGGCGGAACTTATTGTCTGTTAGTGCCTTATGAATGTCATTGTGTGTTTTGAGTATTTTAAAGTAAAAAGAAAAAAAAAACACACTCAGGTATGTTATTGCAAAAGGGAAAAGCATTTCAGAACCCAGTTCCAAGTTGGGATGATCTTTATTTACATAAATAGCCTCAAAGTTCAGTTTTTCACACCCAAAGATTTTCCATGTTAATTTATTCTTACAAGTTATATTTTAAAACAATGTTTTAATATATATTTCATTATTAATAATATTAAAAAAAAAATCTTTAACCACTTATTTCCATTTTTCTTTCTTCATTTTTCTCCCATTTCTCTGAGGCCCCCTATTACCCCAACTTAATAAAAAACACTAACCTATAAAATTTTAGCAATAAAACCATAACCTCTAGTAACCTCAGTGACAAAAAGACAGAAATATAAAGCCATACTTTCATAAGGCGCTGCTTCCTAGTCAGGAGCGGTTTCAAAGGATAGGAGGGAAAGCTTTTGGTTAAAGATAAAGCTGAAGAATGATCCAGACTGACACCTGAACCAAGAGCTGCTTCCATTTCAGATGTTTAGGATGTTTCCCTACAGGGAAGTCTACACAGATCATTTTAGGCCTGTTTGAGAATATC